TTCCCTTTCAAGGGGTGGTGCTTGCCACTCACACTTTTTTATATCAACAGATTCTCCCCTGAGCTAAAAATACTGTGACAAAATGAGCTCAGCCCTTATCTGTGCCATAGCCCAGAGTTCTCTGAGAGGAAAATTCCTGGAACACGCGGGGAGGTTGTATTGTGTGGCTGGTCCTGGGGTCTTCTCGGGATAGTTCTGCTTTATACATTTAAGCGATACTCCTGCCTGCGATTGTCTGCCTCAGCTCAGACCCCAGCCCTGGGCTGCTGTCCCTAGGGATAGCAGAGTCATGGTTTGGAGACCGGGGCTGCTGGGGACTGTTTTTCAGGATGATCAGTCAGTTCAAGGACCATTCCTGGCACAGAAAGAACCCTAGGAGCAGGATTGCCTTGTTTCTCGTACCATCCAAGAGTAACCAGAGCGGTTTATATTTGGGTCTGCTCTGTAGATTGCTGGGCCTCCCTGTGTAGATTTGCACCGTGTATGTTTGGAACGGGAGGTTGGTTAGGCTGGAGGGGGCTGAGCTCTTCTAAGAAACAGTTGTGTTTCCCTATGGAGACAGAACTTAAAATCCCAGAGGAGCTCAGGCCAGAGTTTGGCCAGCTCCATTCTGCTGTCAGGTTCAATCCTCAGTGCCTTCTCTAATGGTCAGAGCTTCCTATGACTCGACACTGAAGATCTGTTATTTCTGTCCTCTGACTAACAAAAATAGTTTCTATTGTCAGTGCCCAAATAAATATTTATTGCAACAAGTGACTGGATTTTTGACCTTCTCCAACACTTGGGGGAGTTGTGGGATCTCGGGGGCGGGGAAGAGTACTTGTGTGGGCAAACAGCTTGGAGATAAAATCGGTTTTATTTCAAGAGATGAGTTGGGTAAGGATTGAGCTTCGTGTAGGTGTTACGTCTCTCAGTCCCAGCTCCATTCCTGGGAGCACGCAGTCCCTGTGGTGCCTGTGCCTGACTCGAGCGCGGTCTGTGCGTGGTAAGGTCCTGCGGAGGACAGCTGGTGTTGCCACCCACAGCAGGGCCTCCTGCTGCCTTCGGACCACGCAGGGCAGCGCTGACATGGGCTTGGGAGGTGCGGGTCCATCTGCTGCCTGGTGGCAGGCGAGATGGGTGTGGTACTGTCTGAGGTCTCGGAGATGCCTGGATGTGTTCCTCCTGGCTTTGTCCTCTTGGGTGCCCTCCAGGAAGGAAGCAGCACTCGCCAGCCTGCCTCGTAGCACAGCTCGCTGTCACCGGTGGCACCTGCTGCAGCAGCAGCAGCAAATAGGTTTGTATCAGACCAGATGCTTTCTGAATATTAAACGCTTCTACAGCCTTGTGCATGCTAATTTGTGGAGCAAGCCTGTTAGCTGTAGATTAAAAAGACATCCTCTCTGGGACAGGCTTCTCCTGCCTTCCCGGGGAGGGTGATGATACCGCCTTTGAGTGTCAGTTGTTCCCCTCCCTCTCGCAGACACGTCTTAACCTGCTGTATGAAGTGTCTTTGCTTCAGCCTGGTGGGGGTTTCTCTGTTTGTCTCCTTCCACATGTGACATGTGGGGATTGATCAAGGCTCCTGTCTTGAAGCTTTATTCAAAATTCCTTTTAATACATCCCTCGTCTGTCTTGAGCAGCCTTCTCTGCGAGGGTAGGACACGTGCTGGAAATGAGAGCTCTCTGTAGCGCTGACTAGATGTTCTTGCTCCAGATAATCAGTTTTGGGAGTGGTCGAGGAGAAAAAGAGGTTGCTATGCTAGCTGTGATGCAGAAAGATGCCTTAAATTCCCAGATTAGGAATTTAGATCTTCCCCAGGGCGAAAGGACATTGGGTGACATTTCTGTACATGCTGCCAGTGCTGCCCATCCCCCAAGTAGGATATTCCATTGTGGGGTTTCTAAGCATTGTCATAAACCTTTGGGATCCCCTAGGGATATAAGGACTTCCTCCTCATCACAGCCTAGATCGCATCTTGGTTGTAAAACCATGCTCTGCCTGCCGGTCCCCCAAGCAGGCGCTCGCTCACATCCCTGTCTGTGCTGTATGAGATCTGGCCTGAGCACGGCTGCCTTTTTAGGTCCCCGCTGTGCCCGAGCACACCATCGCCTCTCGCCGGGTGCCTTCCACTCGCTCTGCTCTCTCCCCTCCATCGGCCCAAGCTCCCCGGCTCCGGGGGGTTCCCCTGGCTGGGTTGCCATGGAAACTCTTCTCAATTCAGCATCTCTGATTGCTGCCTCTTCTCTCACCCGGACCCTGCGCGGCTACTGAACTCCACGCTGGTGTGGGGGGCTGTGTGCGAGGGGACGGTCCTGCCCCCGTGCCAGCCCTCCTCATCCTCCTGTCTCTGCTGGGTGTGAAACCATCACCTGGCCCCGCTGCTCCGAGGAGATCGGCAAAGCACACACTCCTCCGCCTCTCCCCTCACAGGGCAATTCTGGCTGCCCTTTATGCCGATGGGTCTGTAGGCACGTGCCAAAACTGGCTGCTTTGTGTGCATTTAAGGAAATATTTGTTCCTGGAGCATTTTCCCTCATTTCTGCCCCTCACAGGGAGGAACGGACATCTGAGGAGTGCCTCCCTGAAGTTTTGCAGGGAGAAGGGAGAGGCCGGGATCCTTCCAGGTGAGATATACGGTATTTGATAAATCGGCCCCACTGGCAGTGCTGAGCACAGAGTTGTGGAAGTGGGGACAGGTTTGGTAACAGGGCAGTCACCTTCAGGAGCTGCCATCCCCTTCATCTGTGGATGCTGTATCAGGCAGGAAAGCTCTGGATCTCTACAGTGATGAAAAGGCAGCTGCAGTGAACTAGTCCGGGGTAATCTTTGGGCTGGGCATCTGATTTCTCTCTGCTGAGACAGCAGCGCCGCACTGGAGCTCGTGTTCCAGCTTTGCTGCGGCAGGTGCAGCCATTTTCAGCTCTCCCCTCACAGGGGCTGTGCTTGGTGCACACACACCACTTCCACACGTGTTTAACACAGCTGTACCTCCACATGGGCTCTTCTTGCTGTCCAAAATCTCCCTGGACCAGACTGCACTGTATCAGCTGCTGCTTTACCTTTGGATGTTCTTCGCAAATACAAACTCAGCTGTTCTGAAAACCTTAAAAAGCTGCTTAACGAGCTTTTCTACCAGGAACGGCCTTTCCCTTTCCAAACCCAGGTGTGCAGCCCTGGGGGGGGCCACCATCAGGTTACCCGGCAGATGGCCGTTGGCGTGCTCTGCTGGCTCTGGTCCTCGGTCAGAGGGAAATACAGCACAGGGCGTCTCGTTGGGCAGCTGGATGTTAAAGATTCAGCTTGAGAAAGCGTGGAGACAGTGGGGGGACAGGGCTGCCCGTCCCCAAGCATGGCCCAGGCAGCACTGGGCTCCCAGCTGGATGCTGCTGCTGGCGGGATCCTCCCGGGTCAGCATTTTGAGTCTCAGCACCTTCCCTTTACTTGCAGGGCAGGACTGATCCCGAGTCCCTCCGCTGTAGCTTTGCTGCCTTCTCTGTTCCAGGGCTCTCCTCCCCGCTCCTTGCAGTTTTTTCGTTGAACCTTCACCTTCCCCGCTGCACCTTAAAGCTCTTCCCTGCCAGTTTTTGCTGATTCAACTCCTCGTCCGTGGCACACCCTCATTCAGGGCTTGACTGCAGCTGCCCGGACATGTGTCCTCACTCTGGGTATGACACACTTGACACTCTTTAACTCCCCCAGTTCCTTCCTGCCAGCGTCATAACTCCAAAAATGGCACAGAGGAAAGGAATACCTGGATTATTTTTTTTTTCTTCTGTGCTAAGAAAACCTCCTTGCTGGCTTTGTTTGATTCATGCCCGTCTCTCACTCCCTGCAGCAGCTCCGTCTCCTAGGAACACATCCCTGCACAACTTGCTTTGTTAAGGGGCAGAAGACTCTGCTCCATCCTTGCGAAGAGAAGCTGTGAGCACAGCACTAGCCTGTTGCAGCGGCTCATCCCCATCCCTCCATCTCTGCTCAGTGCTTCCCAGTGTCATTCTTAAATTACCGAGCCCAAATATCACAAGCTGTGCTGCTCCCATGTTGAGACCACAGGAGAGGTGGCACTCCTGCCACCAGCCTCCAGGCTCAGATACTGTTTTCATCTACCCATAACAAGGTCTGGACATTAATACCTCCAGCCAGTAAGGCTAGAGTGAAATGTTTTCTGTCTGTCGCCTGCCGGGAGCTGAAACCCTGTTAGCCCAGCATCGGCGGAAACAGACGGCAGAGACTCTCTACAGCATCCTCTCTCGCTTGTTGTTCTACCAGCCCTTGGGAAAAACAAGTGAGCAACAGGGTGAGGAGTTAGTGCCGAGACAGAGAGGCTGCGCTGTTCTCTCCAGAGCACACAGTGTCACACGTGCGCAGACTGCAGGATGGGCTACGTGTCATGGGGTGACAACCCACATTTGCTCCAGCCTGCGTGAGTCCCAGTGACCTATAAAGTGACTTATAAAGCCCTTCCCTGCACACTGCAGGGACGGAGGTGATACCAGCCCCCTGCCCCTTTCCACCTGGCAACGTCCTACAGCTGCAGGTGACAGCGGCATCCGAGGAAACTGAATTTGGTACCTTTGATTCGCACTTCCCAGGCTTGCGCTCTGCGGAGCTCAGGGAGCCAAGTGGCTGCAAATGATGCTTCAACTGTGGGCTGACTGCAACACGCGAGTGTTGCTCCTTCGGATTACCTGTTGCTGGAGCTGCCGTGTCTCCTGTGTCTGAGGTGTTGCTTGCTCTTACCACAAGTGTCTCATTTCCAGCATTATTCCAGCTACTGGTTTTTTGGTCAGGTGGAGGGAAGGTGATGGAGGAGGCAGGACCTTGTGCAGAGATGATTAGTGCCGTAGCTCATGTTCTTTTTCCCTTGGAGCAGAAACTGCCTTTACACACCACAATCTAATAACGATAATAATTATAAATTACTCTGGGAAAGGGGACTGTGAACGTCACTGGATTTGGGGGCTTTATTATGTGTTTGTAGATATTTTGCAAAACACACATTTCATCGCCTTCTCTGGTGCACACGGAAATTGTCTTCCAGCATGTGCATGTGTGGGGGGCGTTACACTCTCAGAGTACGCTTTGCCTGTGCTGTCAACTGTAAACAGACCATTTCTGAACTAAAAATAACCTATCCTCTGAGTAACAGAGCAGCTGATCTCTGCAGCCCAGATGCAGCAGCTCAAAAGGGTTAGGTCACCTATTTTTCATTAATGGTGCCATTTAATTACAAATTGCCCAAAGTTCAATCCTTTGGAGATTTAAAACAAAGCACCTAGTTGCTTTCTTTCCACCAAGAACTTGCTTCAGCGTGTTCTCACAAAAATACAGATATCAACGACAATCTGGTAAGTAACTTTGATGCAAGGCTGCCTAACACCACAACATGCATTACCGGGGGGCCCAACAGTGGCTTTTTGGGAAGAGAAAGAGTTTTATCTCTCATTTAAAATCACTCAGCCGACCTAAGGTATTAACCAGTCCAGCCTGTGCTAACCTTTCCTTCTCCTGGCTCTCCAGGCACCTTGTAGACGCTAGTAATTTAAGTCCAACAGTCCTTCAGGGAGGGTAATTATCTGCTCTGTGGAGGAGGAGGAGGAATCAAAGCCCGGAGCGGTGAGGGAGTTTGCAGGGTGAGGCAGTGGCAGAGCTGCTGGTGGTCTGCCACTCTGCCAGGCCAGCTCTCTACGTCTGGACCACATTTGCATTCCTCTTCAGCCCGGAAGGCCCCTATTGGCATCTGTCAGATGGAGTTTGCATTAGACACATCCTTTTTCTGAGGCTCTGTTACTGGCACATCCTGTAATAGCAAAGCTTTGTTTCCTCTTGCTGAGCTGGTCAGAAGGACCTTGTCTGGGGTGTGGATCCAGAACACAGCATCGCACCTTGCTGCTGTTCATCACAACATTGTGCAAAGAGATTTCTTTATTTGTTCACCCTGATCTCACATGTGAGCCATTTTGCCCGTTCCCTTTATTAATGTTCTGTCTAGGTTTTCTATGAATAATTAAGATCCTAATTTGCCAAAAGAATTAGGTCTCTCAAGGTACTCGCAATCAGTAGCACTTCTCCTCCAGCAAGGAAGCCGCTGTTATTTAGTTGCTGGCAATAATTGTTACCGTGAGACAGAAGCAAACGTCAAACTGCAGCCTTGCCATTCAGCGCTGGCTTTTGTAACACAAGATTTTCTCCTTTTGAAGCAAGAGAAGCATAAACGGGGAAGAGGTGAGGGTCGGAAAGTGCATGGTGGGGATGTGTTAGAGTGCTGTTCTTTGGAAACACAATTGAAAGTCCTTTTTAAATGCTCACTAGAGTGGGACAGACGGAATTAGTGCTTTGCTGCTATGCCATCTACGGCAGGGTTGTCTTATTGCTAACCACAGATTTAGGGCATTTGTGGAAATAGCTGGTGATGAATGGGTTTTCATTAGTTTAGAAGAAGGGAAGACTGCAACGGAAAGTGCCTCCCAGAACCATCCATCACACTGCCCTGCAATGCCTCAATAAAAGACTTCTAACAAATGCTGAGCAGAGGACAGATCTCATAAAAAAGCCACTATTCAGATTATTCTGGCAAGAAAAAGAATTGCAACTAGCACCCGTGGAGAAAAGTGCAAAGGAAAACGGCCTCTGTTCCCGGTCCCTGACAATGCAAGAGCAAAGCAGCACAGCCAGGACTGTAACTAGCTGACAGAACAACGCACAGCAAACGCATGCAAAGTACCGCCGGCCTCAAGGTACACCGTGTGCAGGGAAACAGCACCCAGCACCCTGCCAGGGGAGGGCAGCTCCAACGGCAAAGCTCCCAGAGGCTGACAGCACCGTTTGTTCACAGTGAACACGCTGCTCAGAAAGCATAGCGAGTGGACTATCTTTGTTCCTACTGCAGAAGTGTCGATTTCACAAGAGGAATTTGCACTTAACAATATGCCCGGGTGTAATGCTTCCCCCACTAGACAGACTCATGACTTCCAGGGGGTTACATCCCCTCAGGATATCATATCTTGGGCTGCTGAGTCTCAACAGGAGGCATTAGTTCAGGATTGCTGCTTGACCAGCGCACAGCACCCCCGTCTCAGTGGTACCCAGATACCTCATCCACAGTTTGAGCTTAGCAGTGCCCAATGCTCATTTTACACACCATAACAACATGGGGCATCATACTATTGTGGATTTTTTTTTTTCCCCCCATGGCATTTTTTTTAAACAGAGTCTGGCCCAGCTGACTCTCGGCCTGACACAAAGAGGTTGAACACTGTGTGAAACATGGAGAGCTTCCTGCAGGATGACAGTGGAAGATTAGCTGCAGATTCCTCACATTTGTGACTTGTTGCACTACTTGTAGACCTTCTTGCTCTCAACTTAGACTGTCAATGGGTCAGCCGTCTTTGCTGTAGGTCTAGGTGGAGTTCTCCAGTGATGCTAGGTTGTGCTTTGAGGATATAAAATGCATAAGGGACAAGAAGAGGCTTAAATAGCATAAGAGATGGGTGTCACACTATACTGCTGCCTGACCCAGGCCAGAGCAGGTCCTGGGGAGAGTGGCAGGCAGTCCGGCGCTCCAAGAAGCTCTCCGAGCTGCTGTCTCAGCCGAGCACCACACTGCAGCTTGCATTATGCCTCTCCCTGACTCGGAGGGAGTCCTGCTGGGATGTGCAGCAGCTCGACTCGGGTCCTCCCTCTCAATTCTTGGGAACAGTCCGAGCGTGGCCTCCCTCAGGAGAGATGACTCACCCAGGCGTGGCACACACGGGTCTGGTCAGCCCCCATCAATGAGAATACAACATCGACACTGGGCTATGACATGGTCACTGCCAGAACCCAGCTCCACCTTGTGGGTCGCAGCCACAGAATAGAAGTGTGAGAGGGTACTAGTAGACAACATAAGAAACTTCTGCTCAACTTTTTCTCCCACGCTCCCAAATCCCACCCTCCTCCCTCCATACTGCAGGGACGGAGATGCAAACCAAACACACCTTTCTTGGAGCTGATCTCTATTTCAAAAGAAGGCTGCTCCTGTGGGAATAAAATATGAACACTGGCATGGGGTGGTAAACAAGTCCCTAGAAATTTTTGCCACCCAGTTACTTCCTTCCCTTCTTAAATACCCTGTAACAAATATTACAACAGTAGCTCCAGCCCCATACAGTTGTAAGAACACTTCATGCAAAAAAAAAAAAAAAAAGGAAAAAAATAAGAACCCCCCACCCTCAAAACAGAAAAGCCCTTCCCTCGCTACGCAGGTCTGGAAATCCCGATGTTTCCTCATCACCCCTGGGAGAGGGAAGGGCTTTGCCTAGACACAATCCAGCACAGAGTCACCAGCAGTTCTCCACTCCAGCAGATTCCCAAGGTGCCAGACCTAATCCTGCCCTGACTTGCAGTGCAGTGCGTGGAAGCTGTGGGTTCCTCTTGTGATCACCAGGCAAGTGAAAGGAGAGGCAGACCCCGAGGAGCTGCACTGCCTTTACGCAGGTCTGCCAAGGTTCGGCTGGGTGCGGAAAGGGCAGTACTTGGCACCCAGCGCTTGCTAAGTACCGGGGCTTCTGCAGACCTGTGAAACACACTCAGGATTCCTACTGTCTTTGCCTAACTTATAGCGGCAAAGAGGGCAAAAAACCAACAACAAGATCCAAATCCATCAACACTCCTGTAAGGTTACTAACTACTTCTACACAGACACTGCTTCGTCATTCAGCACAAGGCTAAGCATGCTCCTAGGTAACTACGGGGGCACAGCAGGCGCCGTGGGGGGGGGACACAACTTTCCAGGTTTCTGTGGTGCCTCCCTCAGGCCTTGCTAAATTCCTATTACTAGACAACATCTACAATAACTCACAAACTTCCCACAGGCCCCACAGGGCACCGGTCCCAGCATGCTCCAAAACGCCTCCTGTTCTCATTTAATCTGGCCAAGCATGGCAAGCTGGGACCCGTACCCTTCACAAGGAATACTGCTCGGCTGACGCGGAGCAGGACATCTCTGTGGACTGTTTCCCAATCAAAAAGAAAAAAAAGAAACCAAGAGCAACTGCTACTTGCTCCATTTAATTTCAATTAGCTGCAGCCCTTAGAGGCTGGGAGAGATGCCAATCTAGCAGTTTGTTGGTCACCCCCTTGGGGATGTCCCATTTCTCAAATGCCCCTTTCCCAACCGAGCCTCTACTCTTCTCAGCTTAAAGTTTTAACAAGTCATTAAATCCCACTGTGTTAAACTAATAAGAGCTTTAAAACCTGAAGTTCTTTTTCCTTTGGAGGATGTGACTGAACAGTGGAAAGGACACACGGACAGGCAGTCCCCTTCTCTGCAGTGGGGACTCTGCTACCTCTGGAAGCTCCTGACAGTGACCAGTGTTACTGGATCCTGTTAGAAAGACACGATTTAGTTAGGGCTGGGGAAGAGGAAAGGGAACAACTGCTGTCCTCGGTGTGCTAGAACTTCTCCTCCCTCTCTAGGTGGGTAAACAGGCAGCTTGTTTGGAAAAGGCAAGTGGTTTCCTAAAAAACTACTGAAAAAAAACACGAAGGCTGCTCAGCCCCTTCCCCTAGAAAACTGTAAAAACGTTGGGAGACACAGTGTGGCAGCAGGGAGGCTGGGAAGGCAGCACGGGGACAGCTGCTGTCTCTGGACCGTGCCACAGCCACGGCAGGGTCCAGAGAGGTCTGGCTGTGACTTGTAGATGCTCCGTGAAGAGGATTCAGGAGCTGAGGTGCTCTCTGCCCTCTGTCTGGGTGTTCAGTGGGCAGTAAGTGGCTGCGGCTGGTCTCCACGCTGTCCAGGCAGCTGCTGGTATGTTGGCATATCCTGCCCAAACAGACATCGAGGCTGTTCTGTGACTGTAATTGCTGTCAGTGACCAGTCCCAGCTCGGGCTCCCCTCCTCCAGAGGCGTCTCCTCTGAGCGTGCTGCTGCTCAGTTGCTCTCTACCAGCTTTGCTAGTCCCTGCCGGATCTCACTGAGCTCAAATATCTTCACATCCATTATCTCTGCCACCTTGGTGACCTCATTCTGGATCTTCTCCCTCTCAGCCAGGGTCTCCGCCAGCGTCTGCTCGGCCAGGTGAAGGCGCCTCTCCAGCTCTGCATTGCGTGCCTCCAGCTCCTGCCAAAGGACACAAGTGCAGTGAGGTGGCTGCCCCAGCACTGATACACGCTGCTTACAGACCCACCACCCTTATCTCCACAGAACAGCCCTACTAGCACCGCAGTGCCAGGCTCCCCACACCCTGCCAGCCCTGGTCTCCATCAGTTCTTTCACCGAGGGACCTCCCTGTATCTTGAGCCACAACACCCAGCATGCACACGCGTGTGAGCACATGTTCCCCAAACTCAGGCATCTGCCCACAATTTGCAAAGGTGCTATAAATGCAGATCTCCTCACATGCCTATAGTCTCCAGATCTGACGGCATTTGATGTTTGGAGATATTATTCTGCCATGGAAGCCAGTGCCTGCGTACAGGGGCAAGCCCCGCAGCAGATCCCCTCGTTCAGTAGCTCAGAGGTAAACACAGGCAGGCAGTGCCCCCAGAGACTGCACGACAGATCGTGCTTCCATCTGTGTCCCTGCCCTGAGGTGCAGAGCAGCTTGCATCCCTCCTGCCAGCCAGACTGAGTCAGAGCTCTGCTCCCAAACCACCCAGCAAGCTAAGCAGGACCTCCGAGAAACCGAGGGGCACAGGACATCACGGGTCCTGCTTCAGTCCCGTGTCAGGGGCTACTGAGAGCGCTAGAGGAGAGTACGTGAAGGCTAGGTTTGCTATTGCCTGTTGATTGTGTTCCGTGTCACATCTCAGAGATACAGGGAGGGTAGAAGAAGGCAGAGACATAGACAAGGACCTGTTCCCATCATCCAGAGGCAGACAGAGGCATGGCAGCTCTGCGGCATTCACTCTTTGGGTCAGAGAAATGGGGACGGATCCCTCTTCTCTGAGTGCAGAGGTGTCCCAGATCTGCCATCCTTACCTGCAGCTTCTGCAGTGTCTCCTCACGCTCGCTCTCTGTTTCCCATCGACTACATTTCTGGCTCTTTAACATCTGAATCTCCTAAAATGCAAGGAGGAAGGGCATTATTTTGGATCCACCCCTGTCCCAGTGGGGCCAGCTCCCACCACATACCCCAACCAAGGCTCCTTCCCTCACCGCAAGGATAACATAACCGCACTCAGCTCCAAATACCTCCCTTTCTAACCTTCTACTTCTGCTGTACCTGATGCCTCCCTCTAAGCCGTTAGTCCCTAACCACGATCACCAGCTGAGTGCCAGCAAGGTTCACTGGTCTCTGCACTCTGCTGCGTCCTTGCTCAAGATCAGATCCCGGGCTCTTGGGGCCAGGGTCTCCACTCAGCTGTTTGGTGAAACTCTCTGCACACCTTTGCTCCAGCGTGTTCCCTCTAGCCTGAGTAGACCTTGGGAGGGGGGAAGAAATCTCTTCTCATGAAAGATCAGGAACGCCAAAACACCTCCCCTTCCCAATCCCTGCTTTGTGCCTCCCACCCCAAGGCTCTGTCCACCCACCCTGCTGAATCACGGCCACCAGACAGCCTGCAGATGTGCAAACTGGAGAGATTCTCTCCACATCTCCCCTCCTTCACAGCCTGTGTAATTAAAAAACTCTGCGTTAAATCATTCATTTAAATGCAGTGAAAGTGAGAAGCGAATCCTACACTAGAGGCTAACTGCAGCTGCAGATGGCTGAGAGGGGACAGGGTAAGACACAGCCCTGCCATTTGTGCAGTGCCTGAGATTCTCCACTCAAGGCTATTTGCAGAGGAAACTCCCAGTACTTTACTCTCACTCAGCTTTGCTTCTCTGGGGAGGGAAATCACGGAGGGGGCTGTGCTGGCTTACGGAGGCAGCACGTGCAACAGCAACAGTCTGATCTCATAGAAGCTATAACGACAGACAGGCTGTTGGCGATTGACAGCCCACCCAGCTTCAGGCTTTGCTCTGCTTTGTGGGTTATTACCTCGTCTTTAGCCTTGATCAGTAGTTCCAGCTCCTCCAGGGTTTGGCTCAGCTCTTCCTTGTTGTTCTCGCTGGAGGAATCGTGAGCCCCCTGTGACTCCAGTTCTGCTACCTACATGGAAGCAAGCGCAGGGAAGGTGCACTCAGGGATACAGAAAAGTCCTGACACCTTATCTCCTACAGTCATTCTTTATCATGTTTTGGCTTCCTTGCAAACCCAAGCAGGCTTACAACAGGATAGCAGCTCCCACCCTGGGGCTGTTAGGAAAAAATTATCTCCTTCTGCTCTGCCTAGATCATGCACAGAAACACACTGCGGTGAAACTCGGTCTGGAGACTCTGCCTCTGTTTGTCCTGAAGTTTTGCACTTCCAGCAAAGCTCAACTGGCTGACAACAAGCACAGCAGCCTACAACCCAGAGTGATGGCTAGATCCAGCTCCCTTCACACCCCTGGGCAGAGATTGCCGAGGGCAAAGGCGTTACTGCAGCTCAACCACAGCAGAGCTGGGAGGAAGGGTTTGCTCAAGTGTACTCCCTCTTCCTGAAAAATTCAGCCCAGCGGCTTACATTATTCATGAAGAAGATTCATTTTTAAAGGCTCATCAGAAGGCTTGCAGCAGCTATTGCTGGGGTCCGAGCTCTCACAGAGCCTGCACTGAGCTCCACGAGTGCCGCTCCAGCGATGAGTACCCTCTCACAGACAGGGCTCAGACCCTGGTGTGACACTGTCGCATGAGCAGGGGCAGCAGGGCAGCACGGGCTGGATTTGGCCTCTGCCAGGGTCCACATAAAGAGTGGCTGTGAGCTGTCAGGCTCATGGGGTCATGGCCAGAATCAACCAACTCTGGTCCTGAAACGCTCTGGTTTAGGGACAATAATCTGGGTGTTTCACTGAGTTACAGTTTCTTCTGCAATTCTGCAAGGTCCCCAGTGGTTGCCCTTCGCCCAAGGCTCACGAAATCCTCACTCCAAGCTCCTGGCTGTGAGAACAGCCACCAAACAGCCGAGAAGGCTCAGAGCAAATGGCAGGGAAACATCAGCCTGATCCAGCCAGCCCCGAAACCACACATACACACATGCACAACCAAGATCTCTGCTATACCAAGGGCAGGCTCCTCCTGCAGGGGAGAAAATTTGTTCCGTGCAGCTCTTTTACTGTCTGACTTCAGCACAGAGAATTAGCAATGGGCACAGTGAATCCTGGGGGATAGATGTTTTCTGCACAGACTGGCCACACAACAGCCATCAAGTGGAAACAGCTGTTAATTGCTATAAATCCCCGCTGTCTTTTGAATGAGCTATCTCAAAGCAAAATGGCTTTATGCCTTCTTCTCCAGGGCTCCAGAGTCCTTTCCCAGCCAAACCCCAACTGTCCTAAAACCCCTTCCCCAAGCACTCTGCGGTTCTTCCCTCCCAACAAACCCGGCCGTGTGACTGTCACTCCTCTGCCCAGATGCACACAGGCCTCCTCGGTTGATCTGTGACCTCTCTGACATTACGTAGGTCAAAAGATCCTATTATTCCAACCGAACAAGGGCTTGTTTGTACTGTGCCACCCGGGTTTCATGGTGTTGCAGCTTGGATTCGAGCTAATTATAGCAAATAGAGAAATCCTCATCCTTCCCGTCAGCAGCCAGATTGCCCTGATGCTCAGGGGGGGCACGGGCCTTATTCAGTATTGCTGGCAGCTGGGAACTACCCCCAGGAAACCTGAAGGGAAGCTGGTATTCTTTGACTTTGTGCTCTGGTTTCCTCCTTTTATCCACGGAGACTCAGCACACCCCCAACTCGCTCTGCGGAAAGTGGGAGCTCTTGTGAGCACTCCCTAGTTACATGGCCTTATTCCTTGACATGTTTTCCTTGCCAGGCTCATGCAGCATCCTGGATTTCCATCCCATCTCCTGCTGACACCCATGGAAACTGATGGGAGAATGGGGTCAAGGGCACCATCTGCTCTGGGACGGGGCTTCCTCTGACCTGTTCTGCAAGGGCCCTCCTGTGCTCACCCGCTGCCGCAGCGTTTCCGTCTCCTCCTGATAAGCAGCCAGCTGCTTCTTCCACTGGTCCACGTTGGCATTGGCTTCATGGAGAGCAGCCACGAGCTTGTTGTTGTTGTCCTGGAGGCTAAAGAATTCAGCCTCCCACTGGACCTCGCTCACCGAACTGTGTGAGAGAACAGGGGGAAGTGTTTGGCAGAGCATACAAGAGTGTCAGCATGAAGTTTTCTTCTCTGAGTGCTAACATGTACTGAAACAAGGCTCTTGGAAGTGCTGGGCAGCTCCCTGCTCCTCCACAGTTTTCTATTTAGCTTTCATATTGCTGCCCAAATTTAAATGTTTCTTCTAGCCCCGAATCTGCATCTCTTTCCTTTATCCCTGGGCAATATTTGACTTTGAGGCCATGTGTGCTTGCTTGAAACTGCAGAAACCACATTGTACAATTAGTGAGGGGTGTGTGTGCGTGTGTGTGAGGAGACACAGCTACTATAAAGGAGTTTTGCGATGTGGGACTGTGAGTCCATTTTTAAAATCATTGGTAGATCCAAGTTTGCTTTGAATAAAACCCTACCACCCCAGACCCAGGAGAAGGTAGCAAAGGACACACTTTTGATTTAAAAATACTCTAAGTGTTCAGCTGGGAGCTCAACGGGAGCCACAGGGCAGAATCCAGCCCAGAGTCTTTTGAACAGACAAAGCCCGGAAGCAGCAGGGACTTTGCCGGAATCATCAGGGGAATTAACACAAATGCAGCCCCAGGCCAGCTGGAAAAGTGTGAACATCTTCTGGTATCACAAACTACTGATCTGTAGATAACTGGCATCAACTCATCCTCGCTGCGGGCACAAAGCGTGCTCCTTCCCACGCCGCCTGAAGAGCAGATTTCACCTCTGAGACGGAATAACTTTCTATTGGGAAGAGGGCAAATTGGTACAGCGGAGGGTTTGAGCAGCAGCAGACATGGAGCATTAATTAGCTACCTAAAGAAGTAGCGTTGGGTCAACAGCATTTGGGATGACAGGGACATGCACCAAATTCTGTCAGAATAGAGAGTTTAGGAGTCAGGAGCAGAGAGCACTTGTGACAGCCTCACCCTTCTGAAAGCATCTTCTTCAGCCGCTCCTTCTCTGTTGTTATCTCAACATCGGCGCTTTGGCTCCGGAATAGTTTATCTTCTCCTGGCCCATTGGAGCTGATGATGGGGCTCGGGAGTACCTGGAGGATGAGGAAGAGGTGGTTATCACACAGCAGTAAAGACAGGCCATGTCGCCACACGGTCTCTGCAAACTCATTCACAGCCCGAGTTCACTGGAGCTCTCAGTCCCTGCATGGTGAGAAACGCTGGCTTTCAGTCCTAACTCTTAGGTAGTGCTGTGCTCGTCTACATGGCAAAGATCCTCATGTACGGATGGCTCAGCGGCACCAGTCATGGCACAGTGATGACTTCAGAAGCTATGTGGACACCCCTCTTGGATAGGTGAAGGAAGAAGGGCAGCTTTGCTCTGCCAGCAGCTGCCCTGCTGCCACGTCCTCCCTTTCCTTGTCTCCATGCCACACTGGGGCAGCAATCCCAGTGCACAGACATCCTGAGCAGGTGGGCTCACAGCTTGCATACGCCAGCTATTCCTCCCTCCCAACTTGAGGTACCGAATTCTCTGGCCCTCAGCTTCCCTTCGACAAATGCCAGCGACGTTACAGCCCGTAACCCGAGTCCCGCAGCTGTGCGCAACACTCGAGCTGCTCAAGCTGGCTGGTTCAGGGTTTTGCTGAATTCTTAATAGGATTTTCTTGCCGGTTCTCAGAGCAGCAGAGAGACTTAAACTCTGAACACAGACCTCCCAGGCCACCTGGGTTCACTCACAAGTCCAGCTTCCGTACCTTGAATTAAGACACCAGGTGCCATTGGGATAGTGCTTCTCAGGCTCAAGGGACAGAACCTCTGTTATTGCTCAGGTGACTGTGGCACCCACTTTCCAAAGGTGTGGGAGAAGATACTCACAGCCCCTGCACCAAAGTATACACTCCTTTATGATTCCACATCTCTGCGTACATCAGAGCTAGCAGAGGAACAATTCATCCTCCCAGGCTGAGGGAACTGACAGTGGAGCAGAGATGAATATGCAGAAGCCAAAGCAGAGTTTCCACCCTCCAGCCCCTCCAGAAGACCCTGCCTGCACGGTCTCCTCTCACAGCAGGGAAGAAGCTTGGCACTGACAGGACAAACTGAGCTATAAAAAGACTCTCTGAGCAACGAGTCTCTGGGATCCTAAGCTGGGGGCTGCGAGACCAGGTGGCTGGTGAGCCGGCTGGAGTTCATAGGTAGCCCTCACATGCCTGTGGCAAGGACAGCCACCTGCTTTCGGAGTCGGCTGACAGCTATAAATAGAGCCAGACAGGGCCATGAGATGTATTGAACACCAGCTTCATGAAGCCTTCCAGAGAGCGACTGAGAAGCAAAACCCACGAAACACAACCCTACCTCACCTTTATCACAAAGCGGGGAAACTGAGGCAGGGAAGGGGCAGAAGTTTCCTGTTCTGGTGTGTTGAGCCCCTGAGAGTCTAACTGATACTGATAACAGCTGAAGATGCTCCGCACTGTTTTGTTGCTTACATTATCCACAGTGACATACTCCATGATGGGGATGCTAAATGGGATGGGGATCGGCCTAAAAGATACTTGAGGACAGAAGAGAGCTGCTATTCTGGGATTTCCCCAGCTCTGAAAATCTGAAGCCTGAGTAAACTAGTGCGGATGCAGAAAATGAGGGATCCCTGATTTAATTTCAGGAGACAGATCTGCTCTCTGCTCACTTGCAAACAGAAACACAATCAATTATTCAAGGATAAAACTCATGTTTGAAGCTCTACTAATGTAGAGACTGCGAATCAGCAGTGGGACGGTGGAAGAAGGGATGATGGGCTGACGTACGCACAGGCTGGGGAAGGCAGGACAAGATCTGAATGCCCACATGGCAGAGGACACCATGTGCGTCACTATGTCACCACACTGGCTGCCATGGCTGCAGGCAGGGGCCGTGCATACTTGTGCCTGAGCTCTCCCACCAAGAGCTGAGGCAGGCTGAATGG